CCTTTCATTTTGAAGAAATGATTTTTCCACTTGTACAACTAGCAACTGTTATAGTGAAATTCCTGTTAGTATGAACAATTTTTGATGGTCCCCTGGAGTTCACATTAACGAGGTTCCACTGTAGTTGATTTGTTTGTTGTGCCTTTGCCTTTTCTACCTCGCAGTAATAATAATATTAGTCTATGTACATATTTGGAATTCCCCCATTCTTTCAGCGTGCAACAGAGTGGCTCACTGGGAGTATGAGAGTGGGATGAGACCTCTCAACCTGGGCCCTCAGCCACTCAAAGTCCCTATACCTCCGCCACACCTCATAGCTGGACTCTTCGTACAGGTGGATGGGTCGTATTGCCTGGGAGGAGATATAACCTGGTCGCCAGAGCAAGAACCACAAGTATAACTGAGAATACATTTTTGTTGTGAGAAGGAGGCACATTTTGCTCTCCTATATATGCACTCCAGTCACACAAGGTTCGAGTGTGCACACATATACCGGTGAGTGAAGGTGAGCTGGGGGAATTGGTGAACACTGCATTTCCCAAAGTCCCCATTCCTCCACTCCCCTTCCCTTAGTATAATATTACAATACATCACTGCATACACTGCGTACCTCGGTGACTATTCTATAGTTGATGTAGGAGTCGGTCCTGGAGCCCTGTTTCTCTCTGTGGGCGATGGAAGTCTTCAGATCTCTCTCGTCCTCCGTCTCATCTACAGACACCTCCCTGGCCACCACAGACACACAATCACATGACTCACTAAGAACAACATCGACAGGCTGGGGGCCTGAAAATCACCTTCCCCTAAATGGTATACACACCCCTTTATTGTTCTCTAAACGGAACCTTTTACTTATAAAGGTAGACTTTGACCCCCTCAATTTCCCACCCCCCAAAATCTTAGTTTCAACAAAATTGCATCCAGCAAAGACTTATCACCACATTGACAAACCTGCGAGCGTCGACAGGACTCTCCAGATCCAGCAACTTTGCATTCTCCCTCTGTCTGTCCCACGTACTCTTGTGTTTCACCATCTCTCCACTCGCTCCTCCTTCCTCCTTCCCCTCTCTCTCCTTACCCTCCTCTACCTGCTCCAGCCCCCACTTACCACTGCGGACACGGGTATCTGCATACAAACGTATTTGCTCATCGAACATAAACTGTCCATGGAGTATATTGTAGTCGGTACCAAAAATCGACACCACACACACACACACTAACATTTCAAGGTGGTCATACTGAAAGTTAATACACTGGGAGTCCCCCTGCTATTTCTTTGATCTATTTCACTGAGTGATGAGGGGTCAATGGTATACATAGCCGTTTTATTCGGGTTCATAACTTGCACGCTGTGTGAATGAATATTAACAGAACTGTGCATAGAAGTAGCAGAATCACAGTTTCTTTCAACACAGAACACACGAAGATGCATGGGACCTAAAAAGGTTGTTCTGACCAGAAGACTCCACTGTCGCTTTTGAAATGGACTGGCAAATTGGACTAACAACTCAGCAGTGGTAAAGTATGTACATCTGTATGTTCTTCCACATAACAGTCAGGTTTCAGAATGCTATGGTAGTACTTTATGACCTCGAAACTTACAGAGATGGAAAAGCCTGCTATTCATCCATAGGAAATGTTACCAATGAACGATAATTGTGGATACATACAACTACCAATCCAGGGATATCAACTCTGCACAACTATGGGCAAAGAGCAGTTCCAAGTGAGCACAATTATTCTGCCTAGTCAAAAAACATATTCAAGCGGTAGACATTTTGACATGGACCAGTGCTGCTGAACTGAGCAGGTGTAATGAGGTCAAACCTCAGTTTTCACAGAGATACACAGTCCATGGATTGAACTCTTCTCTGGACCCAATTCAGGAATGGCTTATTTGCCCATTTGGACAGTTCCTAGCAGCCAATCCAGCCACATAACCACACTTGCTCTGATACAAACTCACTACTCTGACTCAACCAACAGCTACACAACGGTATGTCAACTTGGCACCTCTCAACTCTACCTTACACTCACAATAACTCAGGACTAGAACCTTTTATACCACTATGGACATGCTCTGCAGCTTACGTAGGTATGCATGATGATGCTGCACGCCTAATGCTCCATCCGCCCTATGTCAGTAACCTGAGCTTCCTCAAGTCCAGATTTCAGACAAACACATCCTCCTACACACATGGCTTACTGTCACTTAAATAAGAAAAAATATATTGCTTCAAGATGCCCACCTATCGGTCTACAACTAAACATGTGTCAATTTTCCTCCACGCAAGCCCTACGTTGTCGCGAAGCATGAATAAGCTCTTCATAGAATGACTCATTTCCTAAGCATGTATGCACAGGTGTTGCAGTATAAGACTTCCATGTTCGCTCAACTAACCAGAAGTTTACAATGCTGCGTTCTTGGGCCTCCAGAGAATCCCTTTACCAGTGTCCTCATACTAACAAATTCAGGTTCTTAGTAAAAGTGGCGATACGGAAAATTTACAGAGTAAGCAATGGCTTAGGTGTACATGCTTATTTTGACCATAGGATCAGACTGTATGTCAGAAAGTGAAACTACAAATCTATGTATGGGCATAATGCAGGACAACCTGTGTCATCCCTATATACTAAGTATACAGTACTTAGTGATATGGGCCCCAGCAATACATATTGGGGACTTTAAAATGAATTTCACTGAATTAGTACTGGTACAACCTACCTCCACATAAAAGAAACCCACAGATTACAAGGACAAAGAGCGAAAGATAACAGTATCAGAGCATCAGCACCTGAAATCTTACACAGTTGATCACTCAACAAAAAGCTTCCTAACTTGGGCAGGAGAGCTTAGTAGAGCCACACCAACACTCATACTCAATGCTGCACCTCTAACTCTCCACGTGTGAATACACTCACACCTTGGGGGCTTTTGTGTCATCTACTACACATGTGACTGGAAGAAGTACTGTAAATACAACTCGTGTCACGTAGAGGTAACTACACAATCGGTTCTTGTCCACACCGTCATGACTACCACAGATCACAGACCACTCACAAACAATGCGGGTTGTGCTACTAGGACAAAGGGGTGACCGAGAAAATGCATTCCGGGGTGGGACAAAAATTCGAAAACATTTATACTGCAGAAAATTCTTGGTATGTAGGTGATGCTATCTTGTTGTGTTCAGGGGATAGCAGATAACATGTGCGTGAGTCAATACATGCCCTCCGTTGTGACTTTCTGCCTCCAAGGTACACAGAGAAAGCGGATCAGGTTGAGGTATGTAAGCCAGTGCGATTATACATATTGGCTTTTTTCACATGGTAACAGAAAGACGGATGGGCACTCAGACTAAGTGCTGTACCACGGCGAGGGTTAACTTGAAACCTCACTACTATAGTCAACAAAACTCATTTATGAAGAGTGGTGACCAAAGACATATTTGAGTAGGTGAGGGTAAATAAGGGAATAAACATACTCTCATGTGTACACACCAAAATTTGGTAAGAGGCATAAGGGCAATCTGAAAAATCTATGTTGGGAAACAATTACTGGCCATGCAGTTAAAAATTAACTGAATGTTGTATATACACTTCTCCATGGATTGTTTTAAGCAAAACTATATTCTAAGGTTGAAAAAAAATGTAAAAAATTTGGGCCAGCCCAGATAGACGTCTACGGACGCAGTGCTATGCCGAACTATACGCTGCCCTTTGAGATGTATGTGGGTCAGTGGTAGATTCGTGGGTAAGGGGAGAACCAGAGCTGTTCCCAGCCAATGCTCTGGACCACCTGTCAGTTTCAGTGCGGTCCGGGATTCGAACCGGGCACCTTATGTGACAGTCCCCACGTCTCTAACACTTAGCCACTGCTGGCACGAGAGCTTGATGAAAAACGGTCTCCTCTTATATCAGCATCAGTATTACATCATCTATAAAAAATGACCAGACGCGCGGATCGAACCGTGGAGGCCCTCAGCGAGTCAAACATGTGTGGAGTTTGCTTAGTCCAGTCAGACCACACACCCAGAGGCTTGCATGGACAAGTCACAATACGGGTGGTTAGCGGGCCACTGCGGTTCCCTGTTCACTAAAACTTGATAAAGAGGGCGCGTGCGCCCATGCTCCCCCAAAGAATTCCTTGTTCTGGGTACGATAATATGAGCCTGAGTGAAGCAGCCACTGGTCCACGAATTGAGTCTTAGACTAGTGTTACAGTCTATACCAGTGAATGGTCGTGAGCATTCTAGCCTGATGAGTCACTGGGAGTGTGACTATTGGGGTCATCAAAGAACCCAAAACCCTGTCTTCACCGGTTGGGCAGGTGGCCAGATTGACATTAGGAAAATCTCCTCATGTTCACTATCCTCCTTCTTTTCCCTTCCCTTCCCCATTTCCCCCCCTACTCATATTGCCTGATCCCTCCCTTAACTCCAATAACCTACCCCTCGCGTCCCTCACCCCCATCCCGCCTCCGCACTTCACGCCCTGCCTTCCCACTTTTTCCAATCAAATCATCTGCCCCGGCAATAGTTCTCATAGGACCTCTCCCTCGCTCTTTCTCACCAAGGGCTTCACCATCTATGCGTTTATGTACATCCTCCGCGATTCATCATTAACAATATAGGTGAAGAGGGTCACTCGAATTCCTGAACCGAACAATGCGGACATATACATATGTAGAAGACGTGCACATGACCTACAATTAGTGTATGAGGCTGTATGTTGTATTAAAAAAGGCAGAAAACCGTTTACTCTGCACGAACGTGATTGCAAAATAAGATTCTGTACGACTAATGTCTATAAACGTGGTGTTTTTTGTTGTAGAGCAATGGCGTAAACATTTTGGGCAACGCCAATACAGTTTAGTAGCCAGATGTAGCTTCTAGGAGTCTTAGCTAGGAGCGACCGATAGGCACAAGAAACACGGGGTAAATCGTTCAGGCAACTGTGCGCCGTTTGGCAAGTGGCCCACTTTGGTGAGTATGCATGATGATCATGAGGAGGAGACGATTAACTAGCTCACCGATCACTGTTTTATGTCTTGTCCAATCCATGCTGTGAGCTTAGTCTCGCATAGCCAAAGATGCTCAAGGCACGGAGCCTCACAGCTGCGGCTTCGCTGAGCGCATGCGAGGTCAAAGTCGCAAAGTTCACCGAAGTCCCCACGTGATCTTTATCTGACAATGGATGACCTAAAATTTCTCGGGCGAACACACCCCCAGAAAAAATAGTGGGGGGTGGGCTTGTGCTCGTGCCTTCCGCCCAATACCAACGAGGTGGGTTCACAAGGACATCGAGCAACAGGGCGCTGCGCTAGGCTCACTCCTGCGGAAGATAGAGGCGAGTACAAGAGCCACGCAGACTGTTTGCAAACGAGCCCAACAACGCCCACCTCGTGACTTGGGGGACGCTACACTATCGGGACAAAGAAAATTGGACTGTTTGAGATCACGCCTATTTCCGGGTTCCTCGGTTTCGAGGGGCGAGGTTTACACGAGTTCACGCAAGTCGAAGAGACGAACGCCGTAGCTACCTTGAAGCGACAGAAGAGATCTGGCATTCGACAGACACCTACGAGACAGCGAGTCCACCATAGATAGGTGAACGACGGGCAGACTTATGTAACTTTCAACCGTCGGCTATGGAAACGGGTTGCGGACAACTGGCGGGATGTTG